AATATCATGGAACATCTTTCATGTGCTAATTTACCATCTCTACACCCTGTTCAGTGAAATGTCTGTTCACGTCTTTTGCCCATTTTCTAATCGGATTTTCTATTCTTTACTATTGAGTGTTGAGAGCTGTTTGTATATTCTAGATGCAAGGCTTTTGTCCAGTATGTGGCCTGCAAATATTTCCTCCCAGTCTGTACCTTCACAGGTATCTTTCACTGAGCTAAAGTTTTTAATCTTGATGAAGTCCAATTGATCGACTTTTCCTTTTATGCATCATGCTTTCGATGTCAAATCTAAGAACTCCTTGCCTTGCCAAGGTCAAAATAAAAATGTAGAGATGAGGCTGGGCTCAGTGTCTCATGCCTGTAACCCTAGCACTTTGGGAGGCTGAGGGAGGAAGGTTGCTTGAGGCCAGGTGTTCAAGACCAGCCTGGGCAATATAGTGAGACACTGTCTCTAAAAAAAAATTAGCCTGGCATTGTGGCATGTGCCTGTGGTCCCAGCTACTCAGGAGGCTGAGGCAGGATGATCGCTTGGGCCCAAGAGGTTGAGGTTGCTGTGAGCTATGATGATACCACTGCACTCTAGCCGGGGCAACAGAGCGAGACCCTAGCTCAAAAAAAAAAAAAATGTAGATCACTACATTTAATGTATTATTTAGGAAGAAAGAATTATACTTCGGGAACTGGGGGTGGAGGGAGGAGTGAGGAAAAAAAAAAGAAAGAAAGAATTGTACTTTGGGGCATACACACATACCTCGTGGTCTTTGGTACGTCCGAAGAACACAGAGAAGGTTAGAGGTTTTATAAAAAGCAGAAACATTACATACTGCTCTTTGAGAAAGTTCACTGGCACTAGTAAGGGTTGGGGAGCTGGAAAGTTCTCACTGGTCAGTGATGGCAGTGGGCGAAAGCAGTCCCAGAGCTGTAGCAAGTTATCTCAGCAGCTGTAGATAAAACTGGCTTCAGTTACAGCAGGCAGTCTCAGCAGCCAGGCTCGCAGAGTGCTACATTCTCTCAGCAATGCTGTGTGCCCCCGACTGCTCCCCCAGCCTTTTGACTCTGTTTTAGTTGGGTGTGATAAAAATGGCCCAATTTGTAAGGTCAACTTTCACAGCCTAGACCCAGGTCCTGAAGATTTTCTCCTATTTTTTTCCCAAAAGTTTGATAGTTTTTTTGTATTTTACCTTTTACATTTAAATCTGTGATCTATTTTGGTTTTTGTTAATTTATTTTATTTTTTTTTAGGCTAGGTTTTTAAAAATTATTTTTATTTTTATTTTTTTAGGCTAGTCAAGTGAAGCAGTGGGAGTGGAGAAGGAACAAAGGAATCTGTAACTGGTCGTGGTCAATGAGTTGTGAACACCCCTGCACTGGGACCAGCCATGTGATCTATTTTGAGTTAATTTTATATAAAGTGTGTAGTTTAGACTGAGGGTAGATTTTTGGCCTATAGATGTCCCCAGAAGTGTTTTTACAGAGGAGGAAACAGCCTCAGAGACTTTAAATAATCACTTGGAATCACACGGCAAAGGATTGGGAGAGCTGGACTCGAACCCAGGTCTGTGAGCCTTTCTCCTGCTCCTATAGCAATGGCAGTGTCTGAGCTGGCTCCCAGGGGTGGGCCAGGCCTGGTTGGGGAGTAGGGAACACCTTCATTACCCCTTGATGTATTGTGGCCTTCAGAGAGGATCATTCAGTCAGTCAGCAAACACTGGCAGAGACTGTTGGGGCCTAGGCTTCTCCCTAAGGTCGCATCGTCATAGTCTGGTGGGGAGGCAGGACAGACACAGGTCATGGAGTTACTGGTGCCATGGAGGAAGCTGCTCTAAAGCCGGGGGCCCAGACATCCATGATGAGCGCGAGCAATGAGGATGGGCCTCTTGGTTTATGAGGAGGGAGAGGTATTCAAGGAGAGGGAGCAGCAAACACAGACACAGAGGTGTCCGAGAGAGCCTTTCACCCAGAAGCCTGGGTGAAATTAGTGGGGGTGAGGGTGGCCAAGCGGGTGGAGGGCGTTGACTGGAGCCCATGATCCCGCTGCAGGGGTTGGAGAACCACAGAGGGCTGTGAGCAGGGAGGGATGTGGGCAGATTGGTGGTTTCAGAAGTTCCCTTTGCTTGCTTGCAGCCGAGGTGGGCTGGGGGCAGTGAGAAGGTGGTGCAGTTCCCCCATAACCAAGCAGGACTTGGCATTGGCTGTGAGGAGGGAGGGCACAGGGCAAGGAGAGGGTCAGCTTCCAGGCTTCTGGTGCGGCCGAGGCGAAGTGGAACCTGCGGGAGCACCCAGGCCTGCAGAAGCCAGCGCTCGGCAACCCCCACCTGGTTCCCCCACTGTCACTGGCCCCTGCGCGGCCACCCTGCAGCTGGCACACCGGGGGACTGTGTTTCGATGGCGACACCGCCACCGCTGTTCTCATACGGGAGAGGTGGTTCTTTCTTGTTGTTCAGCACAAACACTTGGTCGAACCAGTGGTGCCGGAGGCGGTACCCCATGCCGGCAGCCTGGAGTGGGCTGAACAAACTTGGGAAGAATCTCCTGGCTCTGCTTTCTGAGCCATCATGTGGCTGCGACACCTCACCTGGCCCTCCCGGGAGGGCTGGGCCCTCCAAGTGCCAGAGTCAGCTGGCGCAGGCTCAGAGCCCATCACCTGCCCTCTGAATCCTGGACCCTCGTGGCGTCAGGGTCCTGTCACGGGGCCCCGGGCTGTGTCCTGGGTCTGCTGTGTGTCCCAGGCAAGTTATGTCCTTTCTGGTCCTGCAAAATCAGTGGCGGCCGGAGGTGGTAGGGTAGGGCAGCTGGATCAGATGGTGCCTGAACTTCTCCATGTCTCTTTCTAGGATCCTTTCTTCCTCTCCTCCTCTCCCCCTGTGCCTTTCCTCCCTACTCCCCACCATTCATTCACTTACTCATTCGTTCATTCAACAAATGTTCACAGAATGTCTCCTCTGGGCCCGGCCCTGGGCTGGGCGATACCTGGGACTTGGAGATGATTCAAACCCAGTGTCTGCCCTTGGGGAGCTCCTGTTCTGGTGGAGAAGGTAGACTATGTAAACAAACAACTGTGATTCAATCTTTGGCCTTAGGAGCCCTGGGGAGGAAGCTGCTACTGCCTGGGGGAGAGCCAGGGAAGGCCTCAGCTTCGCATGGGCCTGGAAGCAGGAGGCAGACAGGGTGGGGGTGGGCGTTAAGTGGACAGGGCGTCTGCGAGGACACAGAGGCGTCGTCGGAGCCTGGGTGTGTGTGAGAAAATGCAAGCAGGTCAGGGCGGCTGGCTCTCAGTGCTGGGGTGGGAGGTTCTGGGACCAGTTGTCAAGGGCCTTGAATGCCATAGAAAGGACTTTTATTCCCGGGATGCCACAGGCTCCTGGGGTGGCGGGTGGGGAGGAGGATCCTGAGAAGTACGTGGTAGGATGAGAGCTGACTTGGAAGCACGCTGGTGAGGGGCTTGCAGCACAGCACGTGGGCGGGGCAGGCCACAGAGGGGAGGGAGGAGCAGCGAGGGCCTGGGGCTGGCAGGTGGGGAGGAAACACTGGGGGGAGGTGGGCCTGGGGGATGGCCCAGACCAGGTGTCCACTGGGGCTCAGAGAGGCTGGGCTGGAGACTGGGATGTGGGCATTCGGGTCGTGGTGGGGGGTGGCCTAGGGGAAGGGCTCTGAGACCCACCCTCCTCCGTGGCTGGGCATCTGCAGCAGGATCTTTCAGAAGGGGCGTTTGGAGGGGGAGTCACAGAAACGCCTCACTGTGACTTTACCGGCCTCCCACAGGCCACCACACCTGAAGAGGCTCCCCTTCCTGCCCCCCGTGCACGCGGTCCCTTGGCTTCTGTCTCTGAACGCCCCCACAGTCGCTGGTCTCCTGGTTTGCTCTGCGCTGTGTGGGCCCTGCTGAAAACACCTGGGGGCAGGGGCCAAAGGTTTTTAGGAAGTATTTTATGGGAGCCAAAGTGAACGTGGGGTCAGTCGACTCCCCCCATCAGCTGCGTTTTGCTGGCGAGCAAGGCAAAGCCAGCCTGAGACTGCCTGCAGCCAGAGTCCTGCAGAGGGGAGTGGCCATGGGCGCAGGGTCGGGGTTCTGCCCCCACACAAGGCTGGGGGCCAGGACGCCTGCAGTTATGGTTCAGTCCAGGTCTGGCCCAAGCCCGGGAAATTCATTCATTCATTCATTCATTCAAGGGATGACTGGTGTGTAGTGCCCCAGCCATGGAGACAGCTCATGGCAAAGTCCCTGTCCTCACGGGGCTCCCCACCATAGGGAAGAGGCAAGAACCCAGTAAACACCCCAGGAATGACAAGGAATGAAGGAAAAAACGATGTGGGGAGAGGGGTCAGATGGACAGCAGGGGAGGGGGAGGAGGCAGCCAGGGGAATGCCTGGGGCAGCGGGAAGGCCTGTGTGGCTACAGCAGGGGTGGGGTGAGGGGAGCAAGATGGCATGCCTGGGGGGGGTCTGGATCATGGAGGGTCTTACAGACCACTGAGAAGCTGAGCGATTGGAGAGTTCTGGGCATTGGCTCAGGAAATGGCCTGGCCTGAAGCTCTGACCCCGGAATTGGGGGACAGTGACCCATGCCTACAGTGGGCAAGCTTAAGCAGGCAGGCCTTGCTGGTGGCACCGGGGCTCTCACTCACGAGCTGCAGGTGACGACACAGAGGCCAGAATGGCTGGGACGGTGAGTGGGGAGACTGGCACCCCAGATAGGCTCTATGGCCAGCTGCTCACATGGTCAGGGCCACACCGCAACGGAGCCCCTGGCCTGGGGATGTGGGGGGACAGGGAGAAGGGGTCACGATGGAGGGTGGGGTGGGAAAAGAGTCGGGGGTGTTGGAGCCAGAAGAGTTCCCAGAGGCCAACCCCTCCTCATGGCTCAGACTGGAGGCGCCGGCCAGGCAGTACCGTAGGGACGGGCTCCGCCCCAGCTGGGTCTGGCCCCAGCTGGGTCTGGCCCGCGCCAGGTGCCCGCGTCTGTGGGGAGAGGCACCGAGCATCCCTCTCTCGCAGATGACGTGGGCTGCGTGGTGCCATCCGAGTGCCTGCGGGCCTGCGGGGCTGAGGTCGGCTGCTCCAACATTGCCTACCCCAAGCTGGTCATGGAGCTGATGCCCATAGGTGAGTCTGGGTGGGTGGGGGTCCCGGCGGGCATGGGGCGGGCGTGGAACCTGGGACCCAGTGAGGGTGGCGTGGAACCTGGGACCCTGGGGGGCAGTGGGAGCCACTCTGGATTCAATGTGACATCCGGTGAGATGTTCTGCTCCTAGGGGAAGAGAGGAGAAGCACCCATGGTAGAAAACAGTTGTATACCTACCGCGTGCCAGGACCGTCCCAAGGGCTTCCCATGCGATGCACTGGCTTCCTCTTAGTCAGGAACCCTACATGCTGTTAGTGTCATCCCCATCTTACAGGAGGGAAACTGAGACCCAGAGAGGGTAAGTGGCCTGGCCAAGGTCATATGGCAAGTAAGCTGCAAGCTGGGATTCGAACCCAATTAATCTGCGGGCAGACCTTGTCCTCTTATCCATGCTACACCATCTCTCCAGAAAGGTCACCTACTTTCTCTTCTTACGTGTCTGCTGCGTGCCAGGCCCTTGTACAAAACAGCTTCTCCTTAAATGCTCTGAGGTAGGGTATTGGCTCCATTTTCCAAATGGGGAAATCGAGGCACAGAGAGGGGAGGGTGACTTGTATGAGGTTAGGGAGTGACTGAGACACAAACCCAAGTCCGCTGCTTACTCTGCCAGGACCAGGAGCTCAGGGTCCCCATCCCCCACCCCTGCAGGCATGAGCCCCATCCTCTGTGTCCTCCAGAGACACTGCGGGCCCACAGGTTGAACTATGGGGCAGGTTTTGGCTTTTTCCATGTTTCTCATGGCAGCAGCAGCCCTGATACAGGGTGGTGAGTTCCCCAACACAGGAGGCATGTAAGTAAAAACAACATAGCAAAGGGTGGGGAGGTCCCACTCTAAGCAAAAAGAGGAAACAGCTTTCTGAGCCCTTTGCAGCCAGAGCCTTTCATCTCAGAATGCTCAGGGGCTTGAGTTTTCCCTGGCCCCTCTCCCTCTGGCCCCCTCCCTAGAAGCTTCCTGGTCCCTCAGGTGAGCCCCACCCCACTCTTCCCTCCCCTCCCTCCCTCCCTCCTGCGGAGCCCAGGCCCAACGGAAGTGAGTGCACAGACCTGGGATCAAATCTTGGCTCTGCCACTTGCTGGCCGAGATATTTGGGGCATGTCACTTACTTGCTTGAAGCCTCCGTCCGTGTCCTCGTTTGTAAATTGGACACGATAGCATCTACTCCCCCACCCTCAGCGTTGTTGCTGCGATTGAACATAGGAAAACTACCTGGCAAGGATGGACCACTGTGGGTTCCCACCCAGACTCTGGTTTTGCCGTCCCCTTCTGCTCTCAGCGAGGGGACGCCCTAACCACCCCACCTCCACCCCCCACCCCTGTGGACAAAAATGGCACCCCTAAGCCTGAGCCCTCAGGGGAGGGGCCCATGTCAGGCTTATCCCAGGACAAGGGGTAGAGGACAGATGGGCAGGGAGTTCGCAGAGGTGAAGGAGGTGCTTAAACATTTGCTGAAAACTTGCAAGAGTCCTTGGAGACAGACTCAGACCAATGCCCAGAGAGTGGAGGTGACCAGCCTGAAGCCACACAGCTGGGAGTTGGCAGTCAAGCATCCTTCCACCTCTTTAGGGGTCTCCCTCTTGAGCCCACGACCCCCAGACGGCTTTGCACAGCAATGCCTTTCCCCCGGACAGGGCCCTCACTCGCTCTCAGGCAATAGCAAGAGCGGATTTTTCTCCCCTTCTGGGGAACGATAGCACCAACGAGAAAGATCCACTGTGCCTGCTGGGAGCTGTCACGCACAGGAAATGGTGGGAAGTTCCAGACTGGGCCACTGCAGGCTGGGGTGAGACATGAGCCCTGCCCAGGGTGTGACCTCCAAGCAAAGGGTCCCGCCCCAAGCCTTCCTCACCACCGCCACCCCACCCGGAGGTTCTGCCTCTGGCTCGCTGTGAGTCCCTGGGCAACTCTCTTCCCTTCTCTGAGCTTCCATTTCCTCATCTGTCAAACGGGTAAATAATCCTCCCCGTGAATGAAGTCATGGGTGTGAAAGTGCCTTGTCAACGGCCGGGCTCCGCGCCGATCGAGCACCGACAACGCCGGTGACTACAGTTGGGATCAGCATTGCCAGCAAGCTGCAGGCTCGAGCAGCAAGTCCACACGTCCCCCTGGGTTGTCCTTGGCCTCCCCAGCCTATTACTTATTTAGTTATTTATTTTTATTTTTTATTTTTTAGATATGAGGTCTCTGTCACCCAGGCTGGAGTGCAGTGGTGCAACCACAGCTCACTGCAGCCTCGAACCCCTGGGCTCGAGTGATCCTCCTGCCTCAGCCTCCAGAGTAACTGGGCCTACAGATGCTATGCCCAGCTAATTTTATTTTTGGTAGAGACGTGGTCTTGCTATGTTGCCCAGGCTGGTCTCGAACTCCTGGCCTCCATTGATCCTCCTGCCTCTGCCTCCCAAAGTGCTGGCTTGAACCCCCACACCCGGCCCCCAGCCTACTTTTGGGTCTTGCTCAGCTCAGGCATCCTCAGCCTCTCTCCCTCCCGGCTCTCTTCCGCCAGGGACTTGTGAATGGCCGTGGGGCCTCAGGCAGTAGGGCCCAGGCAGGAGGGGCCCCGGGGCCAGGGTGAGGGCCAGGCAGGGTCACAGCGAGCCCCCTCCCCGACCCCAGGTCTTCGAGGGCTGATGATCGCAGTGATGATGGCCGCGCTCATGTCGTCGCTGACCTCCATCTTTAACAGCAGCAGCACGCTCTTCACCATGGACATCTGGAGGCGGCTGCGGCCCCATGCTGGGGAGCGGGAGCTGCTGCTTGTGGGACGGTACGGTTGAGGGGGTGTTGAGGCACTGGGGAGCACCCCAGCCACATGACCACCCATGAGGTCCCACCACAGGTGGGCTGAGGGAGAATGGCAGATGCCAAGAAGGAGAGGAGAGAAGAGGCCAAAGTACCTGTCCGCCCTTCATGGTCACAGCCCTCATCTGGTGCATCTCTCAACCCGAGCCGGAACCCTCTGTGGAAACAGCCCCCCCTGCCCCAGCCGCACCAGGGACCTCTCTGTCTCCCCCAGACCTGAGCCCCCAGCCCTCCTGATGACTCCCAGTCACCCCAAAGAGGGCTCCGAGCCAGCACTGGGGACTGGCCAACCTTGGGCTGCAGCAGTCCCCTGGCCTGGGGGGCCCTGGTCCCACTGAGCTCCTGCCCTCCTAGCCCTGCTTGTCCCCTCCTTACCTCAATGACTCCCCCTGATCTTTCCTGACTCTACCCAGCATCCCCTCCTCCATGAAGTCCTCCCTGATACCCTGAACCAGGAAATGAGCCCCCTCCCCCTGTGCCCCCAGGGGACTATTGCCAGATTCCTCCCTCAGCACATGTGGCCATTATATCCAGCTGGTCTCCCCGACACCACTCCCCGCCCAGGGGCTGTGTCTGGCCCATCCCTCTATCCCGTGCCCAGCCAGGCACCCAGGAGTCCCATAGGGGTGAACTCCATGGATGATGAAGGCTGGTATCTCCGAGTGTGTGCCCACGTCTGTCTACTTGGGCCCTCTCCCACCCCTTGTCCCACCCATCCTGTCCCCCGCTCTCGTCTCCCTCTGGGCCATGTGGGCCCCACTCTGCTGGCTGAGGGACCCAGCCTTCTGGTGCTTAGCTTGGCCGACAGAGCACCCTCTGCCCAGGGTCCTGTCCCCGGGGTAGGGTCTCCCCCAGAGCTCCAGGCAGTTGCCCCAGCGATGCAAAACAGCCAAGCTTCTGTCAGAAGGGCCCTGTTGGGACATGCCTGATGGCGTGTGCGTGTGAGCTCATTGGCAGGCCCGCAGGCTCCGCCAAAACAAGGAGCCTCTCGCCTCTCACCATGCAGGAAGCTTCCACACTGGTGCGTCCTGGGCACTTGGCTGCTTGGCCACCTCTTTGCTCTGGTTTCCCTGCCTCTCCTGAGTGGTTGTGTGGCCTGGGAGAGGCCCTGACCTCAGCCTCTCCCCTGTGGACAAACCCCACTCTAAGCCCCTCCCCGTGCCAGCATCCTGGCAACTGGGACCTGGTCCCCTCCTGTACCCAGCGTGTGCTCTGGCCCTCTGGCCTGGGACACTGGTAGCCTCTGTACCTGCCTAGTGGCCCTCATGTCCCCTGCCTACTACTTCCCAGACTCTTCAGAAGCAGGCTTCTTCCCTGCTCCCACCAGGCCTCTGCTCCGTGCAGATCATCTGCCCAGTCGCCGGGCTCTCGACCTCCTTCCCGCCTTTTCTGCCAAGTCAATGCCCTCTCCCACCCCACCTGCCCTGCCAGCCTGGTGTTCAGCCTCCCCGTGGGGCAGGGCACAAGGCTGTGTGATGCTGGGCAGGTGACTCACCCTCTCTGGGCCCGAGTTCTGTCAGCAGCCAATTCAAAGGAGCAGAAAGTGCCCCGTGCTGGGTGTCAGGCTGGTCAGCTCTGCCCCCCTCCCTCGTGAAGTGCTGGGAAACCCGCGATGTCTCCAGCCACTCAGACCCATCTCGGCCTCCTCCTGCCTAAAACACCGTCGTTCGAGCCATATTTCCACGGCCCCGTGGGATCGGGGGTCTCTGGTGGGGGGATGGCAGGATCTGAGGCTTGATCACGGAGACAGGGGACTCACGAAGAAGGGGCAATGGAGCAGGGGTCAGAGGCCACAGGAGGAGGCCAGTGACCCTGACGGGGTCAGGCTGAGGGGGCTGTGGGAGCTGTCACAGGCAGGGGCAGCCATGACTGGGGCTGTGTCTTTGCTTGCTCCAAGCCCCCACACCCCATCCTCTGTCTCTTCCCTCCCGTCTGCCTTCTCTGCTGTTCAGTCCACAGGTGGGGCCCAAGGCCCCGTGCCCTGCAGAGCTGGCCACGTGCAGGATGCAGAGCGATCTCAGACCCCTCCCTGAGGGGCTCCCCTGTGACCGCAGCCCTGGGACATGCGGGTGGGGGCCGTCCGTCCTGACGGTGGTGTGGGAGTGGTGGGCTCGTCAGCTTCTCGAGGATGAGGGGGGCTTGCCGGGAGGGGTTGAGAGGGGCATCTCAGGCAGAGGTGCAGCCTCTGGGTTTGGGGCCTCTGGCGGCCCGGAGGCGGCTGCATCGGAATAGCGTAAGGTGGGGCCTGGTCCAGGCCTGGCTCGAGAGGCCGCGGCCCTGGCACACAGCTGCGGAGTCTGGCGTTGGGCGGCGGGAGCCATGTGCAGAGGGCGGGGTGGCAGGTGTTAATGGAAGCCCGCCTGTGTCTTTGATGAGGGCAGCGCCCGCCAGGCTAAGGGTTAATTAGCCTTAATCAAGGTGGCACCTCCTTCCTCCACCCTCTCCCTCAGGCCTGGAAGGGAGGAAAGGCAGGCAGGCAGGGGGAGGACCCACCCAGCTGCACACACAGCCTCCGTCACCCATGCTGGCCCGGCCAGGGTTCCAGCGCATCTCACCCACCTCCCACCTTGGGGGTGAGGGACGTTCAGCCAGGGCTAGCAGATGGATACCTCACCCCAGCCCTGTCCCCTTAGCGAGTCCCACACCCCTTCAAGGCTCTGGGGACCCCTCCTCCTGGAAGCCCTCCTAGACGGATGTGTTCTCAGCTCCCTCAGCCCTGCCCTGAGTGCAGGTGACAGGCTCATCTGTTTTCTTTGCTGGACTCTGAGTGCTGGGCAGGCCCCAGGGCCTTTCCATCACTGAGTCGGGGCTCCTAGCACAGTGCCCTGAACCCAGGTGGGCACCTCATGAGTGGTTTGTTGAGGTGAACAAATGAAGCATGTCCCTGCTGTGGAAGCGCTCTTGGCCCAGGGCAGGGGCAGACGGGAGCGGACAGGAGGACTGGGCGCAGGGAGGGCGGGGGAGGGGCTCCCGCTGGCGCAGAAAGGCTCAGGCTTCATGGCTGAGGAGTCGAGGCTCCAACACTTGCACCCTTGGGAGGGAGGCTGCCCTGTAACGGGTGTGAGTCAACGGCAAAGGGCTGCGGGGCGGGGGGCGGGGGCCGCCGCAGAGGATGGGCAGTGGGAAATAAAGAACTGCCAGGAGGTCCGTCGGCCCAGAAGCGAGGACAGTGGGTCATTCCTGCCATCTCCAAATGTGTAGTGTGCTGGGAGACCAGCAGGGAACTAGAGGCTCCTGCCCTCCTGGTGCTTCCAGTCAGGAGGCGGGACAGGCAGTAAACAGGTCAACACCCAAATAAATGAGCGTGCAGCAGCTGGGACAAGCGCCTTTGAGGAGAGACAAGTGAAACCTGGGTGGCCGTGGAGGACTTCAAGGGTTGATTCATTGGGGCCCCAGGGATGGCAGGGAGCAGACAGCACTGAGGGTTGGGGGCTGTCCTGCAGGCGGCGGGGAGCTGCGGAAGGGTTTGGAGCAGGACAGCACCAGCCCGGTCACTGGTGGCATGGACCAGAGGCCAGGGAGGAGGCTGGGGCTGCAGCGGACAGATTGGAGAGCAAGTGCCAGTGACAGGGCAGGTGGCGGAGGGTGAGGCACGGTCTGGGGGATGACGGCCGCCCGCCGCCTGCTGCAGGCTGGTCATCGTGGTGCTCATCGGCGCGAGCGTGGCCTGGATCCCCGTGCTGCAGGGCTCCAACAGCGGGCAGCTCTTCACCTACATGCAGTCGGTGACCAGCTCCCTGGCGCCCCCGATTACTGCGGTCTTCCTCCTGGGCGTCTTCTGGCCACGCGCCAATGAGCAGGTGGGCGGGCAGGGAGGGACGCGGGGTGGGCTGGGGGGGCCTCCCAGCCTCGCCCTGCAGATGTGCTGCAGCTTGCTCACATCTCCCCTGCGGCCCATGCGTGTGTCTAGAGGGGCTCGGTGTCGCTCCCACAGCCCCACACGCCCTGCCTCCCTCCTCCCAGGGGGCCTTCTGGGGCCTGATTGTGGGGCTGGTGGTGGGGGCCACGAGGTTGGTCCTGGAATTCCTGCACCCGGCCCCACCCTGCGGCGAGCCAGACACGCAGCCGGCCATCCTGGAGAGCATCCACTACCTGCACTTCGCCGCTGTCCTCTTTGTGCTCAGCGGCGCGATTGTGGTGGCCGGGAGCCTGCTGACCCCAGCCCCGCAGGGTGTTCAGGTGAGCCTGCCCTGACCCTGACCCCTCACAATTTCTGACTGTCTCCCACTCTGATCCCTGACCCTCTCTGACTCAAGAAGTATCTAGCCCTCCACCCCCTGACCCTGGCTGGCCCTGATCCCATCCCCTTTTGAGCTCCGCTGCCATCTTTCTGTCACTGACCCCTGCTCCTTTCTGGGACAGAGGCCACACCCCCTCCTGCCTCCCTACTCCTTCCTTGCAGATCGAGAACCTTACCTGGTGGACCCTGGCTCAGGACCTGCCCTTGGGAGCCAAAGCAGGTAAGTGGGGGACCCTGGGCCTTCCTGTTAAATCCCCACCCTGAGGCTGGGGCAAGGGTGCCGGTGTGGCCTGTGTCGCTCATCTGTCCCTCTCTCCCTCTCCAACTCCCTCCAGGTGATGGCCAAACGCCCCAGAAATACACATTCTGGGCCCGTGTCTGTGGCTGCAACGCCATCCTGCTCATGTGCGTCAACATCTTCTTCTACGCCTACTTTGCCTGACACTGCCACCGCGGGCAGGAAGCAGGAGGCTGAGTCCTCCAGTCTACCCCTTTTTCCTAACGGGGACACCAAGGCCCAGAGAGGGGCAGACTCTCCTCACAGCTACGTGTGGTCAGTGCCCAGGGACTGGCCTAGCCAGCAAAGCAGGAGCCCAGAAAAACCAGGGGGAAATGGGGGAAAAATTGTGATATTTCAAAAATAGCACCAAAGTTGTCATAATTGGAAAGAAAATGAGATTTCTGATGGACATCCTTATATTGGTTTTATTGTTTTTGTTTTGACTACATGGGCCCAGGTCAGGAGCGGCATGATTTGCCAGAGCTCGGGGCTCTGAGGGTCTTGGGCCCCCAAGTGTCTGCAGCACAGGGCCCTCCCTCCGTCCCACCGGCGCCCAAGTGCCAGAGGGGGCCTCCTCTCCTTCCCTGCCCGCCCACCTCCCCTCCACCATCAGCCTGGCGTCCGAAGCCTTTCCAAGCGCCACCTCGCTTGTCCTGCTCCTGCCGGCGCCCAGGCTCTGGGCAGGCGCTGCTCAGCACCCCGCGCTGGTTGCACCTCCCGCCTGGACGTCCTTCCTTTTCTCAGGTAGGGGCCGGGCCCTACCTAGGCTGCCCACCCCATCTGGGTCCTGCTGGATCTCTAAATCCCAACTCTGGCTCCAACCCCCATCTTCCTGTAGGTTTGTTGGCCTCTCCCAGCTCCCCTGGGCCCTGGTTTGGGCAGAACCTGGGCCTGAGCCACCAGCACAGCCTCGGTCTCCCACGGGGCTGGGCCTAGGGCTTGTCTCTTGGAGAGCCAGTAGGAGAGGGGTGCTGCCCCCATGGGCCCCACTGCCTGCCCCTTCCTCGGGGTCTCAGGGCCCCTATCCAGCCCCTCTCCAAAGTGTCCGTGGTGAGCATGGAGATGCTGGAGGCCCCAGGTGGACCCCAAAGTCATGGGGCTGCGGAACAGTTGGTGTCCACCTGGACTCTGTCCAAGGAGTCCAGGTCAACAGGTGTGCAGCCTGCCCCTAAGGGCAGAGCCCCTCCCTAATAGCCCATGGGTTCCTTGGGCTGAGCCCCCAGTGGGTGCAACCTCGGAGTCCTCAACCCTCCCAGAGGAGGATGGGGCCGTTGACAGGAGGAGGTGGTAGGCCCTTTGCAGACCCCGCTCCATGACATCACACCACTGGCAGCCAGTGGGAAGTGGCCAGGTGGGAAGCCCTGGGAGCCACCCTCATGGGGCCATCACTAAACACAGCTCTAGTTCTGGGGCACTGGGGGCCATCCCCGTTTGTGCAAAGTGGCTGGAGGCAGTTAGGGGCCCACGTTCATGCCAAGGCCTTCTGCTGAGCCCTCTGTGACACAGGGTGGGGTGTCCATGTCCTCTCTCTGGCCTGCAGTTCCTGTGGAATGGCCCGTTGGCCGGATTAGCCGTCAGCTCTGCCTGCCTGCCGGTCACATGTGCACAGTCTGCACGTAGCTCCGTGGGAAGAAGCCCACGCGCCCGCAGGATCGGCCCCGCCACCAGTGGGGGTCTTGACGCTCCAGGACCTCGATGATGTCCCCGCGGCGGAAGCTGAGCTGTGAGGGGTCCTGGGCCAAGAAGTCAAACTGGGCCTGGGCAAAGCAGGCCCGGGACGACTGCAAGGTGAGGGAGTGGTTAGTGGGGCCGTCAGGCGTACTGCCACCCTGCTCTCCCTGCCGAGGTCCCAAGGGAAGTGACTTGCTGCAGGTGGGGAGGGGCCTCAGGTGGCACTGGAGTTGAACTCTGCCTCCGCCTCCAAGTCCAGATAGTGGCCACACCACCCCACGGGCGTCCTGCTGCCCACGCCCCTGCATGTCTGCTGGGCAGACTCTGCATCTACATGAAACAACACGGCTTTCCTGGTGGCCCAGTGGGACTATAGGGCTGGTGGGTCAGGGGACCTGAGTCCTGGTCCTCTCTCTCTGAGTCTCATTTCCCTGGCTCTGCAGCAGCCATGATTACTTTGACTCCAGGCCATGGAGCCACAGGAATGGGCTTATAAACTGTAAAGTGAGTGCAGCTAAGAGTGGAGTTTACTGCTGTTGCCCTTGGTAAGATGTTGAGGGCGAGGACTGTCACTCTGAGCTGCTCTCAGCTCTCAGGTCTGTGTTCCAGTCCTATCTGAGCCACATGTGTGACCTTGGGTATGTCCGTGTCCTTTGTGGGACTCGGATTCCCCACCTCTCCGTGGTAGCTGGACAGGGGTGCTCTGCCCGGCACTGCGACTGTTGCACCCAGTGGCCCGGCCCTGCCTGCCCCACCAGATATCAGTCTGAGCCTGCGGAATCCCATCCAGGTGGACGACAGAGTCAGCAGAGGCCGTAATTAGCGCTTATCTGCCCAGGAAGGAGGAGGCGTCCTGGGCCCCGGGGAACTGAGCCAGCTCCAGCGTCGCCGCACAGGGTGGGTGCCCCACAGCCCAGGCCAGAGTGAGGTGGTGGGTGTAGGGGAGCCCTCAGTCACCCCCAGCTCTACCCTGCCTCCCTCACGCTTTCCCAGGCAGAGCTGGCCCAGGCAGTGAAGAGGAGGAGGACAGAGGTCTGGCAGGCGGGGCCCAGCTGGCGAGAAGAGTCCCTGAGACTGGGAGCTCACGGCTGACCTTGGCCCTCAGGGCTGGGCAGAGGAGGCCAACAGAGGATGCCCTGATGGGGTCTGCCAAGGCACTGTTTGACTGTCCTGGCATAGCAGACCCCAGGGCTCATCCTACTGGGTAGAGGGGAAACTGAGGCCCAGTTGAGGGATGAACTGGCCCTCAGGTCACATGGTGAGGCTGTGGGGGGTGCTGGGAACAGGCCAGAGCTGGAGCTTCTCTGCAGCGCTTGTCAGCCCCCTCCCCAAGCCTTGGCCATGCTCCCCATCCCCTCTGCAGAACCCGGGTGCCAGTGTGGCAGGGTCTTGGCCTCCAGCCCCAGGTCTTTCCTCTGGAGCAAAACAGCATGTGGAGCTAATGACCCCATTGGCTGCTGTCGTCATCCTAATGAGAGTACGAGCCAGTCCTTGGGGCCCCTTGATGAAAGGGCTGGCTGGCAAATTGCTGTTATGGTGAGGACAAGGGGGGGACAGACCCCACACACCCGGTGGCTGGCCAGGACCTCACCCACGAGCGCTCACACTGCCCCCACCCAAAGCCAGCTCCGATGGGAGCAGAAACCAGGACGAAGCCTACTGGTCTGTGTCCCTGGGGAGTCACATCAGTCTCTGAGCCTCAGTTTCCTCATCTATACAATGGACACGACTAGGCTTCCAGAGTACAGAGACCAGCTCTGTGCATGGTAGCCAGTAGGCTCAGTGGGTGTCAGTACCTTCATTCATTCATGTGTGCCACACACTATTCCAGGAGCTGAGAACAAGCTAGACAGTTGCCCTCGTGGAGTTGCCATTCTGTTCCTTCCTGTTTTCCCCTCTCCTCCCTTCCCGCCCTTGCTGTCTCTCTGCAGCACCACCAGAGTAGCCTCTGCAGCCTGGGCTGGGCCCTCCTCCCGCAGCACCGGCTGCTGGGGAAGGAAGGGCAGGAGACTGCAGAGGCTCGCACAGGCCACCCCTGCCTCCCCCTACCTCCCCCTGCCTCCCGCCACCTACCTTGAGCACTGGCTCCTCATCACACAGGAAGATCTGCCGCTTCTTGGCAATGGTGGTTGTGCGGTAGAAGTCGACCAGCTCATTGAGGGAGTTGAACTTCTCCTCCCACAGGAAGTACTTCCCCGATGCCTCGCGCAGCACCTTGAAGTGCTGCACCTGGTCGCCGTAGCTAGGGGAGAGGACCCATGGCCACTTCAGACCATGGCCAGCCTGGCACGGTCCCAGGTGCCCCATCTCACCACCACCTGGAGCCAGGCCTTTCACGGTGAGTCCCGGAGTCAGGAGAAGGGGCGGGTGGTGCAGACCCCACTGACCCAGCCCCACATAAGGCCCGGGAGCCCCTCCTGGAGACGGCATATGGGGCCAAGCCTGTAGGCTCTGGCTCGGAACACTTTCTTGCTGTGTGACCTTAGGCAAGTCACCTAACTTCTTGGAACCTCAGTTTCCTCATACTGATAACATCTCCCTTATGGAGAAGTGCACAGAAATGCTGACTGTGGCTAACTGGCAACGTTAGATGAGTAGCTCCGAGTGAGTGGCGCTCAGATGCGCCTCCTCCACATCCCTGTAACATCCCCCGGCTTTGACATTCTCTGCCCTCCCGGCCCCACCCCGTCCCCACAGTCCCTGGAGTGGGAGTGAGTGGGTCCTAAGAGCATCACTAAGGCCTGCTGGTGTGAGAAGAGCTCAGGTGTGTTGGATGCTTCATGTGCCCCCCACAAGAACACTCTATGGCCCCCATTGCCCTCAGGGTAAAGTCCTAGCAGCTCAGACTCAAGCTCTGGCTCTGATTATGTGTCCAGCCTGGTTTCCTTTATATCCCCTCTGACGCAGTCAGCGGCCACTTTCTTTCTCACCTCCCGTCTTCGCCCAGCCTTCCCGCCCACTGCCGCCAGATCGCCCAACTGAGGAGACAGCCTGCTCTCCCAGACCGGCCAGTGGGCAGAGCTTGTCCTGGCTGGGACTGGGCAGAGGGACCTGCCTGGTGCCTGTCGCACGCGCGGCATGTCCCTCCCAGGACAGGCCGCGCAGGGCTGGGACTGGGTGGTGCTGACGTGGCTACTGTGACCCCTCCCCCGCTGCAGGGAGGGCTGGGCCTCCTCACAGCCAGGAGGAGCAAATAGGGGCCCTCGTACAGTGGGGAAACTGAGGCACTGAGTGCAGCTGAGACCTGCCCAGAGCCACACAGCAAGAAAGGTCAGAGCCGGGGTCACATCTGAGCTCACACAGGTAGAGTGTTGCCTAATGTGCTCCTCAATTGATTATTATAGAACAATAGCAATAATAATTATTCCAATTATGGTATTAATAGTGTCCCAGATCTTCTCATTCCAAGTCCAGTTCTACTGTGCCCTGTTCCTACCTGGGCTGTGTCCCCCAGGAGGCCCCCCTTGTCCTTTCTGCCTGGCCAGACCTTAGCCACCCTTCCCATCCCGACAGTGCCCGGCTTATAGCCAGGCCCACCTCTCGGGGCCTCGGTGTCCTGGCCTGCCAAAGTGGGGGAGCACTGGGGCACCCCTCCCAGGCGAGGAAGACCTGGGGCCCTGTGGGGAGAACACTGAACAGCTCCAGCTCCCAGCCAGGAAGGGGCCAGTTTCAGAGCCCCAGGAAAGGTCCCTGTTCAGGTGGCTGGTACAGGTGAGAGCTGGGGAAGCCTGGGGACCTATGGGTGGGGCGAGGCACAGGGGTGCCCAGCACGGCCCCTCAGCCTCCTGAGCCACAGGCTGTGGCTCATTTTGTTCACATTTCAGGCGAAATGAGATCCAGTCCTGTGTTCAGACACTTGATGGTACACACACACACACACCCCTCCTGCTTCTAAATTAGAATTTGGGTAAGCAATTTGGATGCAATGCTCTTGCAAGCTGGGGTTGGCACGTGCCAGCCCCTGGTCCCTGCAGGCCTATAGTCCTCCTGAACAAGAGGGTGGTGTCCATCACCCCCAGCTGCCCAGACTGCTGCTCTCTGTCCCAGCCTGCCTGCAGTTCAGCTCTTCCTGTCAGCTGTGGGGGCTGGCCTGCAGCTTCACTGACAGTTTACAATTAAATATTGAAGACAGAGGTTTGTTTAAGATAACTACCCTCCAGTCTGCATGAAGGATAGGGCAAAGTGGGGTTCCCCCTGCCCTGCCCAAGTCAAGGGGCCCAAACCACACAGGACCTCTCTCTCCACTCTAAACACGACTCCAGGTCTCTGTACCTCTGCACACACTATTTCCTCCAGTTGGAAGAATTCTTCTCAAACTCCTATTCAGGCCTCAAGGTCCAGGTAAAATAGCCCAGCCTCTAAGAGTGTCAGACCCCCTCAGTCAGAGTCAGGAGCCTTCTTGGGTCCCTCAGCGCCTTATACAGCCTTTTTGTAACCCGCTGCTCATAGTGACTTGCAGACTAGACAGGGAGAGAGGCCGGAGTAGGCCCAGAGGGTCTAGTCCACATCAGACTCAGCGACTGGAGCATCCCTGCCCAACCCTTAAGTCCCCATTGGGACGCTTTCTTCTTGAAACCCCCTTCTGTTGGCTCTGAACTCAGATTCCCACCCTCCAAGTGTCCGGACCCTGAAACTGGGGCTCTGGCGGCAGGCCCAGTGCTCTAGATGTGTCTGGCTCTCGGGGCAGCTCAGCCACAAAGGGAGCCGGTTCTCCCCTCAAGGACAGAGGCTGTCAACCAGATGGAGCAATGATCCCCAAACCTGAGACAAAGCCACTCACATGCCCTCGGCAGGCCTTGTTCCCTGTGACTAAGCGCTTGTGTTGTCAGCCGTGGACGGTGTGTCCGCGTGCCCGCGATGCAGAGGAGGGCGTGCAGGCGGACGGGTGTCCCCTGCCCTGTCTGGCCTGCGGCAGCCTCCCAGAGACACCTCTGAGCCCCGTGATTCCTTAGTGCCACACTCTAATGAGCTCGCGAGTTCCTAGGTTTTGGCCGCAGTGCACAGGGAGGAACATGGCTCCGAGCTGTGGAGTGAGGAGCCCCACAGCTGGGCAGGCGAGAAGCCGGAAATGGGGATCCCAGCAGCTCTGTGTTTGCGGCCCCCAGTGCAGGGGCAGAAGGCCCTGTCCCCGGCCAGCCCTGCAGAGAAGCCTGGGGTACAGGTGGCCGCGTTCCTCTGGGTGAGGGGGCAGAAAGGGTGTGACAGATTTGAATGAGATTTCAACCCCAAATGACCACAACTTTGAACATTTTGGTAGGGGCTGCCTTCTGGGGCCTCCCCAGACCTCGACCCAGCCCCACTCCCAGGCCCTCCGGGGCCTCAGGGCTTGCAGGAAGAGCTGAGTCTCAGTCTACGGGGGCTGGGGTGGTGTGTGAGGAGACAGGGGCTGTGCTGGCCCCTGCGCTGTCAGAAAAACCCTAAGGACCAAGTCAGGCCTCACACTGGCAGCAGCCAGTCCTGCCCAGCGGGTTTTTCTGGCCTGGTGGCAGCAGCAGCAGCAGCAAAGGTGACAGACAGTGGCAGCCCAGGGATGAAAAACAAGGCTGGGGTGGGGGTAGGAGCCAGGGCCTGGGGACCCACCTGGGCAGAGGCCTGGGTGCTAAATGCCTGCTGGATGGTCTCCACTGGACATGGCCCCTCTCTGGCCTCAGTGTGCCCATCTGCGGAAAGGGAGGGTGGAGTAACCCATGCTGCAGCAGCCAGGGAAGAGCATCCAGCTGACTTTAGGGCGGGGCCCGGTGGGGACAGAGTCCGTGGGTTCTGTGGGTCTGGGAAGGTGGGTAGGAGGCAGGCCAGGCCTGTCAGGGCACAGAGAGCCAGTGGGCACCAGCTCTGCTGTTCCTTGCTGTGTGACCTTGGGCAAGTTACTGTGCCTCTCTGAGCTTCAGTTCCCTTACCTGCAAATGGGCTTCTGGGGATCACGCAAGTTTCCGCACTTACCCCCGTCTTTGCTGCACCCCCCGCGCTTTATTTTCTCCAAAGCCTTGATCATAGCCCAAGATTCTATATAATTTACTAATTGCTTATTGTCTGTCACCCAGTAGAATGTGAGTACCTGAAGACAGGAAACTTTGTCCTATATTGTTGGTGGCTGAATCCCCAGCACCTGGGACAGAGCCTGGCACACAGTAGGTGCTCAGTGACCAGATGGGCAGAGCAAATGCGTGTTCGTTGACTCCAGGGTACCTCTGGCTGGAAAGGAAGCAAAACACTTCCCTTGGGGACAAACTCATTTGTAGCAGAAGAGTCCACAGTACTCTGGACAGGAAGGTAGGGCAAAGTTAGGTGCCCAGGACTTGCACACCAGCCTTGGCCCCCGGCCCACCAGCCAGCAGCCCAGACAGGTTCCCTGGAGGTGGAGGGGACAGACCTTTGTAAACTCATAAAGGGCAGCTGCCTGTGGCCACTGTCACTCTGTGAGGCAGCAGGAGGCCCATAAACTCCACCTCTGACAGCTTTATGGGGCTTTGCATGAGTGTGCAGGAGATGCCACGCATAGTGGGGTCAGAGTGCTCACATGCCACGCCAGCAAGTGCAGAAGAGCTTTTTTTTTTTTTCAGTCAGAGGGCAGAGTCTCACTCTGTTGCTGGGGCTAGAGGGCTGTGGCGTCAGCCTAGCTCACAGCAACCTCAAACTCCTGGGCTCAAGCGATCCTCCTGCCTCAGCCTCCTGAGTAGCTGGGACTACAGGCATGCGCCACCATGCCCGGCTAATTTTTTCTATTTTTAGTAGAGATGAGGTCTTGCTCTTGCTCAGGCTGGTCTCAAACTCCTGACCTCAAGTGATCCACCCGCCTTGGCCTCCCAGAGTGCTAGGATCACAGGTGTGAGCCACCGCGCCAGGCCCAGAAGAGCTCTTACACACGAATCTGCCAAGCTGTCGCTTTCTTAGATGGCCATTGGGTCACAGAGCTTCACGGCATCTGGGGTCACTGTCTCCACATCATAGATGAGGACCAGGCAGTCCGGAGAAGGCCAGCACCTGCCCGGGGTTACACAGCAGGCCCAGGGAAAGCCAGGTTGAGAAGTAGCCCTGCCTCCCTGTGCGGCTGCCTCTCCTCTGAGAGCCCTGCATTCACGGGCAGGAGACAGGCTAGAGGGATCCCTAAACCCTCCTCAGCACGATGTGTGGTCCTTGGGGGTTCATACAATGATAATTACTATGACTGGCACTTACTATGTGCTAGTCCTCACACTGAGCACTTTACGTCGATGTCCATTTTATAGATGAGGAAACCTCAGAGGGTAATTTGCCCAGGATTATACAGCTAGCAGGTGTCCGAGCTGAGACTGTTGCTCAAAATCCCATATTCTTAGCCACGTGCCCCATCTGAGTCTCAGTGTCCGGCTCAGACCCCTGCTCAGTGGTCATCCAAGAACTATTGCAAGGCCCCATGAAAGATGCGAGACCAAGAGGGAACAGGCCCAGGAGCCCTGGCCCAGTGTGGCAGAACCAAGGGTCAAGGGCGCCACCTGGTGGTTCACGTGAAACAGCTGGCGGAACTCAGGAAGCTCTGGCCGGTTCTGACCTTGGGCCCTTTGGCCAGGATGCTGTGGGGGATGTGCCAGGATTTCTGAGAGATGCTCTCAGATCCCTTCCCAGGAAACGTTGGTGGCTTCCCTGCTTGAGAACTGCTCCCAAGACCAGTCACGGTGGCTCACATCTGTAATCCCAGCACTTTGGAAGGCCAAGGTGGGAGGATCGGTTGCTTGGGGCAAGGAGTTTCAGATCAGCCTGGGCAACATAGCAAGACCTCGTCTGTACACAAAATAACAATAGCTGGGCGTGGTGGCGCACACTTGTAGTCCAAGCTGCTCGGGAGGCTGAGGCCAGAGGATCATTTGAGCCCAAGAGTTCAAAGCTACAGTGAGCTACGTTACCCAGACCCACTGCACTCGGGTCTGGATAACAGAGAGAGAGACCCTGTCAAGAAAAGAAAGAAAAGAAAAGAAGCCGGGCGCGGTGGCTCACGCCTGTAATCCTAGCACTCTGGGAGGCCGAGGCGGGTGGATCGCTCAAGGTCAGGAGTTGAGACCAGCCTGAGCAAGAGCGAGACCTCGTCTCTACTGAAAAATAGAAAGAAATGATCTGGACAACTAAAAATATATATATAGAAAAAATTAGCCGGGCATGGTGGCACATGCCTGTGGTCCCAGCTACTCGGGAGGCTGAGGCAGAAGGATCGCTTGAGCCCAGGAGTTTGAGGTTGCTGTGAGCTAGGCTGACGCCACGGCACTCTAGCCCAGGCAACAGAGTGAGACTCTGTCTCAAAAAAAAAAAAAAAAAAGAAAGAAAAGAAAAGAAAAAAAGGAAGAAAGGAAGGAAGGAAGAAAGGAAGGAAGAAAGAGAAAGAAAGGAAGGAAAAAAGAAAGAAAGAAAGAAAGGGAAAGAAAGAAAAAGACAAAAACTGTTCCTTAGTACTGCCCATCTTCTCTCCTGGTCAGACAACTTGTTGCTATCCAAACGTGACGCTCACTGCCCCACCTCTGGGTCTCTGCACATGCTGTTCCCTGTGCCCGTCACGTCCCCTCCTCTCCTCGTGCACCAAACACCTACTCATGCTTCAGGGCCCGGCTCAGACGCCACCGCCCTGGTGCCGTCACATGTGGAAGGTGTCTGTCGTAGAATCTCATTTATTCTGTGTCTATTTCCCCACCACACTCCTCAGGTTTGACTCCTGTCCCCGTCCTGCCCTGTATTGAGAAAACCTGCAGGACTGACGTATTTGGGTCCAACGCCTCCCCAGCCACTCTGGCTCCAAAAGTGGCTTGAGTCCCCCGTGACCCTGCTTTGCTGGGTGACCTTGGGCCAGACCAGCCCGCCTGGCGGGCGCCGCTCCCAAGAGACGACCAGGCCCCCGGACAACCCAGCTGCACTCAGAAAACCTTGCTTCCTGCCTCTGTGGAGGCAGCAGCTCCCTGGGGGAAGGGCGCCGGGCTGGGGGTGGGGGTGACCCAGCGGGGACTCCAGGCTCTAGGTGCCCACCATGGGGGTGGGGGGGGCAGTCAGGCTCGGAGACTCACAGCATCTTTCCCCCACAAATGCCAAGGTGCCTCCGTTATTAAGATGGGGCAGTAGAGGCTCAGAGAGGGCCAGAGCCTCTCCTGCCCCTCAGAATAACCAGCCTGCTCCCAGGGGAAAAGGGAAGTGAACAAAGCTGACCGGTGGCGCAGCTTGGGGGGCTCAGGGTAGTGCCGGGGTTGCAAGTTCTGCCCCCGGAGCAGCCTTTCTGTCCACAGTGGTCCTACCCCTGGCGGTGCCTCCAGGCCCAGAGGGGGAGATGCCACCTGGCAGGGCCAGCAGGGGATGTGCTGATCCCAGGCGGGACGAGCTCATTTCAGAGACGGACCGGCTGACGACACACAAGGGACAAGGCCCTGGCAGAGCCCGCAAGGCATCAAGTTGGACCTTTCCCAGCAGTAGGAGCCTGCACGTGGGCCATCACGGCCCCGCCCATCTGGAGCTGCGCAAGGACGACGTGGACAGTCCCTCTCCAAGTCTTTCATCCTCTGTGTCTTGGGACCCCCCCAGCGCCAGCACCGGTCACACTGAGTCTCCCCACCCAGCCCGGTGTTAACCATCCAAGTGGGTCCTGTGTGTGTTCGCTCATCCTTTACAAAGTCACGGAGCCATCAGCTCAGAATCAGCCCAGTTCTAGGAAATGGACCCCACACAAGCCACAGAACACCCTGACTGGCCACCGCCTCTCAGAGGCCACACTGCCCTTCTCTGGGGGCCACCCCTTCCTTCATCCTTCACCTCCTGCCTGGCTCCTCACTGGCCTCCCTGCTGCCACTCTCACCCCAACGGTCCTCCCTCCTCACAGCAGCCAGAGGGATCTGCTGAAAAATGGAATCTGATCGTACCTCTCCCCTGCTCAAGACCCTCCATGGCTCCCTACTGCTCTGAGGGAAAAAGCCCAACCTCCTTTTCAGGCCCTGTGTGGTCACTGCACATGACTCTCACCCCCACCCCCGCCCCTTGCCCACTCTGCTCCAGCCACGCCGCCGCCTCTGGGTTCCTACGTGCCCTAAGCGCATTCCTACCTCAGGACCTTTGCTGTTATTGTCCCCTCTGCCTGGAAGCCTTTCCTCCCGGGTCTTCGTTCCCAGGACCAGGGCAGCCTCCACATCCTAGTTCAGAGCTTTGCTCAGATGCCACCTCCTCTGAGAGGCCTTTCCTGACCACCTTGGTTCATTCTGTATTTACATTTTCTTGTTCACTGTCTCCTCTGAGATTTCAACCCTTAGGGCAGCAACTCTGTTTTTTTCAGTGTTGCTTACCAGCTCTCAAGTAGCCTGGCACGTGGCTCAGTCAGTAGTCCTTGAATTCACGCATCTCAATCCTGACCTTCTGGGCACTGGGAGCAGGAAGGACAGAGACCAGCCAGGGGGCTGACCCTGGCCGCCACCCCCACTCCTCAGTCACCCCAGTTATGGCCTTTGGGGTTGGAGTCTGTGCTGGCCAGAGGCTGCAGCACCACGGCTGAGGAGCCACCCTACCCCAAAGCCAGGTGTCCCCATCACAGCTACCCTGCCTCAATGCCAGTTGCTGTTCTAATTGCTTTAAATGTATCAACTCATTTGTTCCTTGCAATACCTTATTCTACAGGTGAGGAAACAGGCACAGAGAGGTTAAGCGACTTGCCTAAGCTCACACAGCTAGGAAGTGGTAGAACCAGAGTTTGAACCCAGACAGCCTGGCTTCAGGGTCCACCCTCTCAACTGCATCACCATAGTATGGGAGCCTATCTGGGGCACCTCCTGGACACCTGCCCTGAGCACCTCAGCACTCTCCTGCCCCCAGTCTCTCACCACATCAAGCGGTGGCATCGTCCTCCCCCGATGAACCTGTGATAGCTCCATACCGCTCATAGAATAAAGTCTGGACCCTTCAGCCTGGCACTCGAGGCCTTTGCACGGCTGGCCTGGGCCTGCTCTCCCAACACGCCCCCACTGCTCTGGGCCGCACCCTGGGGTGCCCAGACCACTGCCTGCCTCCAGGCCTCTGCTCAGCTGCCCCACCCTCACTCTGTGAGCCAGCCCGGCCCCCAGGCTCAGCGCAGATGCTGCCAACCCGCCCACCCTCCTCCGCACAGCCCCAGTGGCCAGAGCTCACTTCACGGAGATGGAGAACTCCCCCGGGGAGCTCTCGCTCTCTCGGATCAGGAAGGCTCCCAGATGGTTCCGCTTCATCAGAATCTCTTCCGCCAGCTGCCGGGAAATCCTGCCCGAGTACCACCTGTGGAGAGAGGGGGCAGGTGACGGCAGGGGGAGGTCGGGCTCTCAGCCACCACACCCTCAGCCCGGGGCCAGCTGCTTGCATCATTGATCCTCACAGCAGTCCTGAGACATGGGAGATATGATTGCACCCATTTTACAGATGGGGAAACTGAGGCATGGAGAGGATAAGTGATGTGCCCAAGGTCACACAGCTGAGGCAGGCAGGAGCTGGAACATAATCCCAGTGTTTGGGCACCTGAGCCCAGCCTGTCCCACCACACCAGCAAGCACTCAAGTCATAATCCAGTAAGTCGAAACCCAGCCAAACTCAGTCTAACTTTTCTGTTTTAGATGGTAGATTCTTTTTTTTTTGAGACAAGGTTTCACTCTGTTGCCCAGGCTGGAGTGCAGTGACATGATCATAGCTCACTGCAACCTCCAACCCCTGGGCTCCAGTGATCCTCCTGCCTCAGCCTCCTGAGTAGCTAGGACTAAAGGTTCATACCACCGTGACTGGCTAGTTTTTTTTTTATTTTTTGTAAAGTCGGGGTCTCTCTATGTTACACAGTCTTGAACTCCTGACCTCAAGTGATCCTCCTGCCTTGGCCTCCCAAAGCACTGGGGATGGTAGATTCTTAAAAGTAAAAAAAATATATAGCTGGATATGGTGGCTCAGGCCTGCAATCCCAGCACTTTGGCAGGAGGATCACTTGAGCCCAGGAGTCCAAGACCAGCCTGGGCAACATATCAAGATTTTGTCTCTTAAAAAAAAGTCAAAAAATATATTACTATAAACAGGTGACAAAATAATAATAATGGCTTCATTCTAGTGAGAAAACTTTCTTCCTTGTACTCTTTCCACAGATGCACGGACTCAGGCCACCTGGACTTTTTCACAGCTACAAGTTACTTTTCCCTCTGACCAAGCAGAACTGGGTATATGGAAGGTGCCTGGTAAATGCTTAGACTTTTGCAAGACCCCCAGGGTCTGGGGGTGAAAGGTGGGATCCAACTTCCCTCCAGTCCTGCTCTTGCTGTGCGGCTCCAGGCAGCCCCTGGCCTCTCTGGGCTTTAGCTACCACTATAGACTGACTGTGTCCCTGACAAAATTCATAATTTGAAACCTAATCCCCGATGTGATAGTGTTCAAAGGCGAGGCCTTTGGGAGGACGAGGAGCCCCCATGAATGGGATTAGTGCCCTTATAAAAGAGGCCCCGTGAGGACACAGCTGAGAGGCTCGGCCAGCTGTGAACCAGGAAGGGGGCTCTCACCAGGCGCCGAATCTGCCAGTGCCTTGATCTTGGACCTCCCAGCTTCAAAGCTGTGAGCTCATACGCCCCCAGCCTAGGGTGTTCTGTTAGAGCTGCCTGAACATGAACAGACAAGACACCCACCATCAGCGGGGCTAAGTGGTCTCTGTCTGGCTCCCCAGCTCCAGTGCTTTAGCCCAGCTTGGGCTCTGACCCCTTTACTGTTCAGATGGGGAAACTGAGGCCAAGAGCAGCCAGAGGTCTCATGGTGGGACCAAGGGCCGGGCACAGAGCCTTGGTTTCCTTTCACTCCTTCAGCAAATGCTTCCTGAGTCAGACTGAGCTTGGCACAGGTGGCAGATGTCAGGCGGGACTCTTCCTGTTGTCCCAGGACGTTAGCCAGCCTTGGACCTGAGAGCAGATGCCGCTGGTATCCTGCCTGTACCCTTGCTCTCACCTCTATGGCTCAGCACAAACTCAGGGATTCTGCCCCAGGGCTTTTGTCTGGCGCCTGACTTCCTTGGCCTGTGTGCAGGGCGGGCAGAGGCCCCTGGGACATTCTCAAGTGATGACTGGCGGGGGCAGGTGGGCAGACAGCCAGCGCCCCGCCCGCAGGGGGGATGACTCGCAGGTGCGTGTTCTGCACTGTCTCCCCTGTTCCCCGGCCAGATCGAGCTGCAGTTGCCCCCAGCAGCAAGGACATCGACGACACGCCCCACTGGCTCCTTCCCTGTCTACTGCCTACTCCTAAATAAATTCCTCGTCCTCACATTGCGTCTCAGGGACTGCTCTAGGCAAGCCCACACGCCAGACACGAGATTCTAGACTGCTGCCACCAGAGCTGGTGGGGGACCCTCAGCCCACACCATGGTGAGGGGAGGCAGGGACCGTGGCTGCTGAGTGTGGGAACTCAGGCGACCATCTGGAGAGCTCAGCCTGGGTCTCACGGAGTTTGGAGACCTGGGGGCTGTGGCCCAGCCAGCCTGGGCAGTCTCGAGGCCAGAGGCTGGCACTGCAGGCCGGGCCAGGATGGGAGCACCGGACCCAGGGTCAGGGGTACCAGGGAGGGGAGCTGCTGTGAGCTCTTCTGCTAGGAAGCCCCCAGCTCGGTCCTGCTGGAGCAGCGCCCAGTGGGGCCCTGGGTGGGAGTTTCCTAAAGGGCCAGGTGTCTCCGAAAAACCCACAAAAACCCCACAGAAGCATCAGTGTGTGGGTGGCTGTTGCCCTCACAGGGTGTCACAACTGCACACTCCAAGGAGGCCCCTGCATCCCCCGCCAGCCCTGTCCCAGTGGCCTAAATGCTGGGGGTGAGAAGAAAGCACTTCCTAATGCCCCCAGGCCCAGCTCTTGCCCCGACACCAGCGTCACTCCATTTGTGGCCATCTCACATTACACTGTCCCCATTTTACTGATGTGGAAACTGAGGCCTAGAAAGGGGCAGAGAAGCTCCTCCCCTTACCACCCCCATGCCTCTGAAATTGCACAGCAAGTCCAAGGCCTGGACTCTCCCCCTGCCCCACCCCTGTCCTTACGGGCTTTCCTGCCCCCTCCTGCCAGGCCAGCCCAGGGCTCACGCCACTCAGCTGCAGTCTCGCTCCACCGCTTGCCAGCTGTGTGACCTGAACGAGTCACTCAACTTCTCTGTGCCTCTGTCGCCTTATGTGAAAGATGGTGATGCTAATTCTCACCTCATAGGGCCCCTAGGAGGATGCGCGAGCAGCTGCGTGCAGGTGTTCGCTGCTCCCCCTACATGTCCCTCTGCTCGGCTTGTCCTCCGCCCTCCCTGGCAGACTCCTACTCTAACTTGCAGGCCCAGTGGGCTGTGCCCTTCCTCTAGGAAGCCCTCCCTGACCCTCACAGGCCATGCAGCAAGGTCAGGTCCTCTGTGGCCACTGCCCGATGAGGCTGACTCTGGAAGTACTGGGACTGTGTCGCGCCCCTGCCCTGGGGCTCCTGAGCAGGCAGGGGTGAGAGTGGGTGCTCAGGAAAGGAGTGGGCCTGGCATAGGCACGAGGCCTTCTGGAGCCCCAGCCCCTCCCCACCCACGCACCCTGGGGCTTTGTGCGTTGAGTCAGGTGTGGAGCTGGAGTTTCCCCGCTGCTATTTTGGGACCAGAGCAGGTGCTGAGGTTAACCAGGAACACATCGGGACTCCGCCTCAGGCAGGCTGGTCAGGGGTCTGACCCCGTCCCTGCTCTGTCCCAGGTACAAGAGGCCGGCGCTGACCCCAGGGGCATCGGAGGCTCCCAGCTGGCTGCTAGAGTCTCACCCCAGCCACTGGCGTTGCTGTGCAGGCCTGGCCCAGCGCTGCCTCTTTGGGCATCTTTTCTCCCCACCAGAGCGAATGGAAGCCCCTGCTCAGGGCTGCTGGCAGCTCTGGGCCTTCCAGCCTTCCAGCCGTTGCCACACAATTTCCTCCCCCTGAAGGCCCCGCCCCGAATGGCCAGCCCTCGGGGATTGCGTCCACCCCGTCCTGCCACCTGGACATCGGCTTACAGATGCCTAGGGGCCGGGCCAGGCTTGTGGCCCTGGGCTGGACCCTCCATCTCCCTCCCTTCTCCCGCACCCCTTCCTCTCCCTGAAGGTCAGAGGGGCGGAAACCTGCCCGGCTGCACACAGCCGCGAGGGCATAGCGGGCTGGGAGCCCAGGCAGAGAGGCTGGGGACCTGAGTGGGGCAGACCATGCCCAGCACAGGAAGCCAGAGGTGGTGGCAGCTTTGGAAATAACTCAAAGACAGATAAAGGCCCCTCAGCCCTGTACCTCCTTTCCCGTCCACCCCACAGCCACACATCACAGTCCCAGTCTGCCCCGCCAGCCTGCCTGGCCCTGCCACCAGTGTCTGTATCTGAGTCCTTCCCCTGCCCTAACAGCCCCATAGCTCCCCACTACCCTGGCCCTGGCATTTGAGGCCATCCTTCCAGTCCCACATGCCACCGGTTCTCTCTCATTGCTTTCTCTTTGCTCATCCTGATTCTTTCCCAGGAATGCCTTTCTCTTTTCTACTTAGCCAGCTCCTATACATCCTTCAAAACCTTATCATTGCCACTTCTTCTGAAAAGCTTTCCCTGGTTAATCACCTGAATGCCTGTCTTCCCATGTAGTATTTTCTTTATGTCCTCTCTCCCCGACAGAACATGGCTACTCTTGACCCCTCTGTTGTCCAGCATCCCCCCGGGCTAGGACCCCTGGAGCTGTGTTTGGTGAATGAGTAAGTGGCTGTATCTTGGGGCTGCTTCAGCTGTCATTTAAAGCATACCCAGTTGGTTTCTTGCAGGTTTCTTGGTGACCTATTCCTGTCTGGGGCTGGACTCTGCCCCAGACATTCTCAGGGCAGCAGTGCTGGATGCCATCTGCTGAGAGCCCAATCAGGGACTTCTTGGGGCCTGCAAGTCCCCAGGACACCTGGGCCCAGACAGAACTTTCACTCCACCCTGGTCCCAGACTCTGCTCTCAACACCCAGTTTGCTCCCACATCCCAAATGCAGGGCCTGCATAGTTTGTTCGCTGCCCAGCCCTCCACCCCTCTGTCACCACCCCCACTCCCCAGCCCCAACTCAGGGCTGAGTCAGCCTCTCAGAGAGAGCTTTAGAACAGATTGGACAGTCTGGACAGATTAGAGCTCAGCCCTCCTTGGGTTACAGTTTCCTTGGGAAACTGAGGAACAGAGAGAGCAGGGACTCGCCTGAGGCCACAGAGCAGCCCGTGGCCCAGCCAGCTGAGAGCCCAGGCTCTCTCCTTTCCTAGGGCCCTGCTGGACATCCTCTGGCAGCCAGGTTCTCAGCGTTAAAGCCTGGGCTTGCCCTGACTCTGCCACCACTTTGGGCAAGCCCTCAAGTCTCAGTCCCCTGTCTCTGCTCAGGGTGGTGGCTTCTGTGTAGACTGAGGCCCCAGACAGATGGACGGGCCCAGGAGTGAGGGAGCCCCATGCACAGAAGAGATGCCGTGCCCCAGGCCTCCACAGGCCGCTCAGCTCAGCCTGGGCCAGGCCAGGTGGGGACATACAGCCACGGGGCCTGGGAGGGGGATGGCAGCCACTCACGGGTGGGGCTTGACACGGATGTAGTTCTTGGGGATAAACCCCTCAGCACCCCGGAGCTCGGCCTTGTACCAGTTCTGGTCATCTTCCATGTTCAGGATCTGTGGGCAGGGGACACAAAGCCACTCAGTTATTGAGAAGGGACAGCTGTCACCTGCTGAGATCCCGCTGCACGCCAGGCCCCAGGTGGACTTCACCCACAACAGCTGCTGCACCCAGGAAAACTTTCACTCAACACAACACAGAGGGCATATCTCTCCTGTCAGTCCCGGAACAGGCTCTAATGTTGGCTGGGGGCCCTGGGACAGGGTCCTGCCACGGGCACAGGGGCTGAGTCAGAACCAGCTACCTGAGCCCACAGTCCTTCCTGCCCGTTCCCTGGCCCCAGGACAGTCCATCCTAAATGGAAGGCTTGGGGTGGCTGGAGCTGGACCCTCAGGCTCTGCCAATCAGATCCCCGGCAGACTGGGAGGCCTTGACGAGCAGAACTGGGGACCTCAGTTCCTGAGCTGTGCCCCCTGAACACGCCATGTGCTGAGCCTTGGGGTGAAGGTCGGATGTCCCCAGGAAGATGAAGGAGCCCCAGCCTGAGCCCAGTGACTGCAGTCTCTTGCATTTAAACAGCCCTTCAGTTCAAGCTCAGGGGTGACGATTCAGTGGGGGGATCTCAGGCACTGGGGAGCAGACAAGACAGAGAGCCCTTTGGGCTGGGATAGGCTGGTTCTCAGGCCCTGCCTGGTCTGTGGTCCCCTGGGCTCCTCTTCCACACCCCTGAGGCCCCCATCGCCCCCACGTGGGCCAAGAGGAACTGAAATAGCCAGAGCGGGTGGGGAGACGCTGCGGTGGTCAGTGAAGCGACCAAAGCGGGAAGCGGGTCAGGGCTGGGGCTGGTGCGGCACGAGGCTCTTTCCTCCATTCCCCGGGCCACTTGCCCAGCATCACCCCGATCTTCATGCAACCCTTCAAGGTGGACATCACCAAATGTTATTTTACAGATGACGAAACCGAGGCCCAGAGAGGGGAAGTGACTCAGCCAAGGCCACACAGCAGGGGAGAGGCAGAGTCCATATGGTCAGCCAGGACTCTGAGCCGGGGTCTTTGGCTCAGCTGGTCTAGGGGGGCCCAGCCCACCAGTGTTCACCCCCAATCCACCTCCTACTTTGTCTCTGGACCTAAGCCTGAGGGGATATCTCTCCTGTCAGTACTGGAACAGGCTCTAATGTTGGCTCAATCCCAGTGGGGATATTTGTTGAGAGAAAGAGTTGGGTAGAGAAGACCAGGGGCTCGGGGCAGGCCGACACAAGGGCCGCAGCTCGGGCAGTGGGATTTGGCCAAGAGCAGCTGGGGTTTGCTTCCTCGGGCCAGGCCCTGTCTGCCCACTGGGCCAGGCTGAGCCCTTCCTTCCTGCCCCACAGCCCGGGCAAGGTCAGAGGCCCCAGGGACAGACGGAAGCAGGTGGCTGACTCAGGAAAACTTTCACTCAACACAGAACAAAACAAAACAACTCCCCCAACCTAATGAGAAAATTCGGCCAGTAGGCCGCCTGCCATGGCCGGGCTTCAAGGAAGATGCCCTGAGGCCTGGGGCTCTCGGCCACTCTGCTCTGACGTTCTCTGTGGCCTTGACACCAGCGTCCTCATCTGTTAGATGGGCGCACTTGTGGCCTACACGGAACGTGGCAGTGCCTTGTGGACTACAAGGTCCCGTGTGGACACAGGAACATGACGAATCATATTGATCCCTGTTTTTGTCATTTCCCTTTCATCTCTGCTCGGAGGACCCAGTAATGCGCTCATTGGTCACATGGCTTCATTCTTACTGTTTACGTTGTTCAAAAGCCTCTGAGACACGGGAATGCCCAAGAAGGAGAGAGACAGCTCCTCTCTGGGGAACTATCACCGCTTGAGGTGAGACACGCCGTAGCTTGCCCCGGCGAGCCTTTGCCCCTGCAGTGCCGTCCAGCCAGGCTGCGGCCCCGCTCACTGTCCCGTCCGATGTGTCACTCGGCAGCTGTTTACTAAGCGCCTGCTGTGTGCAGACACTGTGCTGGGCCCTGGCGATACAGCGTGGAACAAGGATCTCGCATTCCAGGGGGTGGAGACAGACCATGAACAAGGTAAGAAACAGGCCACGAGACAGTCAATGCAGTGGCAAGTGCTCCAACAACATGCATCAGGATGACACAGATGAAGACTGCCTGGCTGGGGCAGGGAGACTGTCAACACGGGGCAGATGGAGTGGTCAAGAAAGGCCTCTCTGAGGAGGCGGCGTCGGGGCTGAGACCCGAATTACAAGAAGGAACCTATGGTGAGATGTGGGGAACAGTGTTCAAGGCCGAGGGCACAGCCAGCGCAAGGTGGGAGCAAGTTCTGTCCCTGAAACAGAAAGAGCCAGGTGGGTACAGTGGCTCACACCTGTAATCCTAGCACTGTGGGAAGCCGAGGCCAGGAGTTCAAGACCAGCCTGGGCAATATAGTGAGACCTCATCTTTACAAAAAAATGAAAAAGCTAGCTAGGCATGGTGGTGCACGCCTGCAGTCCTAGCTATTCGGGAAGCTGAGGTGGGAGGATCGCTTGACTGCACTCCAGCCTGGGCAACTGAGCAGGTCCTGTCTCCAAAAAAAAAAAACAGAAACAGAAAGAAAGGAGCTGGAGGGCATAGTTTTGCCTACTACTGAAGGCTAAATCACGCAAACTAGTACCATCTTAATGTGGCCAGGCTCTGAGTCAGGGCCGCTGTGTGGGGACCAGGCTGGGGGCCAGAGGACAGCAGGAGGCACCAGCGAGCTCCTACACCAGCCCGGGAGAGACACGGACACCCAGACTGGAGGAGGGGTGTGCCGGGAGGTGTGGAGAAGGGTCAGAGTCGGGGTAGCTTTTGCCAGAGTTATGGACAAGATGCAGTGACAGGCTGTAAGGGGCAGGCCAGAGAGCCCAGGGTTGGCTGTGGGGGCTCTGCACCGTCGACCTTCCTCGTGGACACGTCCAGGAGGCTGTGGGCACCCTGAGTCTGGGTCTGGGGTCCAGGCCGTCCGTGGAGAACAAGGGTGAAACTGCCACCCCCATCTCCTCTCCAGCTGGCAGCAGTGGGGTACCGCGCACCCAGAAATGCTTGGCCGTCGCAGAGGGAGGCTTTTTACCAGGGAAGGGACGCTTGGGGCCATGTGTCCAGGGTGAGACCACGAGCCTCTGAACTTTCATCAGAGACCAAATCCAGATTTGAAGAACGGGCTTCGCTGTGGCTCCTCTGCAGCAGTCCTGGCCCACAGGGGGCGCTGCACGGAGACGGGAGCCCCAGCTCAGCCCCGCCCCCTGCTGGGAGGGGCCGCCCTGCAGGGAACGGCAGCTCGACATCACATGACATTTTTGCTGGTTACAGAAAGCGGTCCAGACTAGAGTGAGGCGGGAGAGGCACCTTGGTGTAACACTGAAGGGGACGCCAAAAAAAGGTACCAAGATTAAATAATATTTTAATGCAATATATTAAAATCAGAATGCAAAAATCTGAATATGGGCATTAGTTACTAACAATGTATCAGTATCACTCATTAACTGTAACAAATGTGCCTGTTGCATAGTTGCATAGATGGTAACCACATGGGAAGCTGGGTGCCCAGACGTGGGAATCCCCTGTGTTACCTTCCAGTTTCTCTGTAAACCTCAAACTGTTCTGAGAAATAAAGTCTATCTAAAAGTTAAGGCATCCACTACCCATCAAATCTTCAGTACAGGCGGATGTGACCTTGTACTTGCACATCCCTGAGAGCGAAGGCGGCACACCTGGCCCTGCAAGGACCCCCGCTTATTAGCAGAGCACCCAGGACAGAAAGAGTAAAGACAATGCACATCGCTCAGGGCCACCTCCCGGGAGCAACAGCTGCAGGCTTAGCAAGACTTTTCTTTTAAATCTTTGTTCTACGCACAAATCTGGCGGTGGATGTCGGTTTTCCCACGAAGTTAGTATCGATCAATTATCTGTGCAGACATTCGCACTCCGCTTTTTGCCACTTAATGTTATGTCATAAACGTTTTTATGTCACTAACAGCCCTACAAAAGTAGCATTTTCAGGGGTTATCTAATCTTTTGTACCACCACCCGGCCCTGAGTCTGTGTGGCTCAGACAAACTCTCTCGGCACACTCTCCAGCCTCTGCCTGGCCCCAGCCCAGCCTGCCCCGTCCCTGTAGGAACCAAACAGTCTAATACTCATTGCTCCAGTGGGGAGACTGAGGCCCAGGGAGGGGCAGTGACTTCCTTAGGTAAGTAAGTGGCTGCTCCAGTGCCCAAGTCATGGCATGGCCACCCCCTGAATCCTGAACCTGGCCCCTGGGCTCTGCTTTCACATGCAAACTGTGTGTGTGTGTGTGTGTGTGTGTGTGTGTGTGTGTGTGTGTGTGTGTGTGTGTGTGACCCAGGCTAGAGTGCAGAGGCATCATAATAGCTCACCACAACCTCAAACTCCTGGGCTGAAGCAATCCACCCGCCTCAGCCTCCTGAGTAGCTGGGACTACAGACACGGTTCACCACACCTGGCTAATTTTTCTATTTTTTGTAGAGACCAGCTTTCAGTCTTGATCAGGCTGATCTTGAACTCCTGGCCTCAAACAATCCTCCTGCCTCGGCCTCCCAGAGTGCTAGGATTACAGGCATGAGCCAATGTGCCCAGCCACATGCAAATTTTAAAGCAAGGACGTCTCCAGACAGATATTCCACAGACCCACCTTCCTCGACCATCCTGAAAGACTGCAATGTCCATCAAAAGTGTCCCAGACAAGGAGAAATGAATTCTGGTATGACTCCATTTTCCTTTTTCTCCACAATACTGGGAAGCTCATCCTTGACGCTTACATCATAGCTACTTTAGCCCCACCAGGTTATCGCATGTACTTATTTCTTTCCTAAGACCTCCTCTCTCTCTCCCCCCTTCCAGCCCCACAGTATCTGTCGCTCTCTCTCTATCAATCATTCTCTGTCTCAGCAATTGTCTTTTCACATTTTCTCCCGGAAAACTGGGTGTTGATGCTGTGGTAATGTCTCCTTGAATCCTCACAACAGCCCCTAAGGAGGGAGCATTAATTACCTCCCCATTTCCTAGATGGGGAAACTAAGGCTCAGAGGGAGGAGGTGGATTGTCCAGAGTCACGCAACCACTAACCGTAGGCGCGGGGCCTGTCCTCCAGGGACCAGACTCTGTTTGGGGCTGTCCTGGGCCCCGTTCTTAATTCCACCCCCACTACATGCAGGACCAGCTCAGCCCGGCTCCAGCTCCCTTACCTTGAGTGTGTCCCCCTTGTTGAAGGCTAGCTCATCACTCTCTGTGGCCTGGAAGCTGTACAGGGCCACCGACTCCATCCTGCTGACCCCCGGTTCCCGCAGCTGGGCTCGGAGCAGGCCGGCAGCTTCCTGCTTCCTCTGCAGTCGAGGACCGTCTTCCTTTGCTTTGAGTGTGTGTTTGTTCTTTTGAAGCTAAGACTGAGACTGCCCTGATGGGGGAAAACAGGAAGCAGAGACATGCCACAGAACAGGGAGGGCGTGTGCGCCAGCTCCGTCCCTAACTCAGACCCCAGAGGCCAGGTATAGCCCTTGGGGAGTCTCCCTGCAGCCCTGGGAGTGGGACTCCCTGTGCCCACGTTACAAATGATAAAACTGAGGTGTCTGGAGAAGTGCCTCAAAGCCGTCCTGACGGCTCAGGCACTGTGTCTCGTGGCCCCGGGTGGTGGCCACCCTTAGCAATTTGCCAGCCTGTCCTCCACATTTCCTAAACCCCAGTGCCTCTTGTGAGTCCCCAGCGCCTGCTACATCAATCCCAAGCTCCTTGCCTGGCATTCAGGGCCCTTCCAAGATATACCCCCAGCCACCCCCACATGCAGCTCCTACACTCACCCTTTGTCATTCCCCTGCACTGCAGCCACAGCAGGGTTTCATCCCCAGCCCTTGGCACATGCTGTCCCCCTACCCAGTGCTCTTTCCTCCTTCTGCTGCTGAATATTCCTAGTCATCCATCAAAACCCAGATCAAAATGTACTTCTGGTTTCAACACTGGCTACCTTCAGTGGGATGTATATCCTAAGGTCAAAAAGAATTACAAATAAATCTCAACCTTTCCATAGTGGGTTTGTTATGGGTGGTGGTATCAGTGTAGCAATTGTGGAACTATTTTGTGAGTATTGTAGGATAGAGCATAAACGGATAAAAATGGCCATGTTGTTTGGAACCAGGGTTCTTCCAGGAAAGAAAGGAGACACGAATGGGGAAGGGAAGGGCGGAAGAGCCCCATGGTCTGGGATGAGAACTGGATGGATTGGTATGAAGTCAGATTTTTTTTTCTGCAAAGAAGTTTCTCTTCCTTCGTTTAAATCAATACAGACTCATGATTTCATGTTTTAGTCAATGGATTATAATCCACTACTATCATTCTTATCTTGATGCTCAAATTGTCCCTTATTTGGCCAGTGGGATCCCCTTCAAGCTGGCTCCTTGTCCTTTTGACCTGGCCCCATCATTTCCTGAACATGTCCTGACTGTCTGGCTAACAATAGGCTCAAGGCTCATCCTGAACATCTCTGCTTCAGCCCTGAGTCAAAGTCAGAATAAAAATGTAGAGATGAATCTCTACATTTAATGTTTCGTTTGGGAAGAAAGAATTGCAATTCGGGCCATCTGTGCAGACGAGGTGGTCTTTAGTATGCCTGAAGGAAGAACAAAGAGAAGGTTAAAGATTTTATTAAAAAGGAGAAACATTAGGTACTGCTCTTTGAGGAGGTTCACGGACACCGGGGAGGGTGTGGGGAGCTGGCACGTTCTGGTTGGCAAGTGATGGTGGTGGGCAAAATTAGCCCTGGAATTGCAGCAAGTTATCTCACAAGCCATCAGTCAAACTGGTCTCAGTTTAGAATGGGTCTTTCAGCAGCCAGGCTCGAGGGAATTACGTTCTTGGAGCAATGCCTTTTCCCGCCTGGCTTCTCAGCTCTGTCGTAGTTGCATATGACAAGAATGACCCAGTTAGAATGATCAGTTTTCACATCTGGAATCAACCCTCTCTGCAAGGAGATGGACGGAGGGATTTTAGTGGCGGGTGGGATTTGGGAACCAAGAGTGCTCAGGTGTTAGGTGAGTTTGTTACTGCTGCGGTGCCACTGCTCCCAGGCCCTCTCAGCAGCCAGGGTTAGGGGGGAAAATGTCATGTCTGTGTGTGTGTCTGTGTGTGTTTGTGTGTGTCTGTGAATTTTTAGAAATATATTTTCTAGTAGACAGAGCATCTCCTCGTCTATATTTATTTCCCTGTCTATGGAGATACGGAAAATAGATTAAAAACCATGGACTCAGTCAAATGTGAACTGTTGAACTCAGGTGAAGGGTCAGCGGGTGGCACTGTACTGTTCTTACGGCTTTTCAGAAGGTTTGAATTTTTCCTATATAGAAAGTTGAGCAGATGTATGTGAATCCACAGTTATCTCAAAATAAGAGGTTTACTTTTTTAGAAAGTTGAGGGGAAAGAAGAGAAGACAACAGGTGCCCTCGCCCACTCTGGAGGCCCTTTCCCACGCACCCGCTGTGCTCAGACCACCCCCACTTTCCGCCTCCCCAGACGCAAAAGGGCGACAGATGTTATAAGGCGCCTCTTTCCGGCTCAGTTTCAGCTGAGGTTTCAGAGCCTCAGAATGATGCAATAGGGGGTTGAGATCCACCCCCACCCCATATCTGAGGTGCCTCGAAACCAAAGGTGGGGAGGCTTCCCCTTATGAAGCTGAGCATGTGTCGCCGAGGGATTGTGGGCCAGATGGCTGGTTTATTTTGTTCTTTAGAGGTGTTTATTCTGGGCCAAGTCCTGTACAAAGAGGTAGGTAACTCTCCCAAAGGCCAACACCTAGTAAGAGGCAGGGCTGGGGTTCAAACCCAGGCAGGCCTGAGGCCAGGTCCATGCCCATAATGCCTGTGCCGCGTGGCCTCGGGCCTGAGGTTGCTGCACAAGACGGCTCCAGCCGGAGTGGAAGCCCGGGCTGCCCACTGCATACTTAGCCCAGAGAGCCGAGGGAGGAGTGAGCAGCAAATCCCTGTTGGAGGGTAGACATGTCCCAATTTCCAGAGGCCAAATAGGACCCCAAGAACAGGACTTATCTGAGAGCATTACAGCCGCGCCAGGTTCATCGTCCGCTGCAAGAGGAAGCCAGTGCACTGAGACAGCAGGGCTTACAGCAGAGAAAGAGTTTGACATCACAGGCACCAGGCAAGGAGATGAGAGGAAGTTCTCAAATCCATCTCCCCAAGAATTTTTAAGGTTTTTAAAGATAGTGTGGCAGGCAAATGGCTAGGCAACTGGGTCTGAAAATTGGCTGGGTTGGGGGCGGAACCGCAGGGGTGTAGAAACTTTCTTTGCTGAGTCCATTCTTGGGTGGGGTCTCAAGACCAGCTGAGTCAGTTCCCTGGTATGGGCCGCTGGTCTGGGTGGTCAGCAGAACACCGGAATGCAGGGCTGGAAGATTTCTCAGAAACTAGCCTTAGGTTTCACAAGGGTGATGTTATCTGTGGGAGCAACAAAGAAAGCTGAGAATCTTTACGGCCATCAGCTATGTGACTCCTGAGTAGTGAGCGATTGATTATAGGACAGCAAGCCCGGGAACAATGGCTGAGTGTATATATATTTCCCCTGCCACAGTTTCCACCTTGTGGCCCTTTATTAATTTTATAAAGGGTGGTCTCAAGAGGACCCTTGAGGGGTGCAGCACCCCAACCGAGGTAGGTGCTGGGGCTTAGAACGAGGGATGTCAGGAGCTGGTGGCTGGGAGAGCACTGGGAGCTGCAGCTGGGGTTCCCGCGGGAGGCCCCTCAAAAGCTGCCCACAGGAGGAAAACTCAGTGCTGGCCACTGGCCATGCCAGGCCAGGCCAGACCCAGCCACTGTCTCGGTGCTTAAAACCCAAGCCCTTGTGGTCGGCTGAATAACAGGCCCAAAGGCACCCAGGTCCTGACCCCTGGGACCCATGCTCATTACCTGTTGGCAAAAGGGACTCTGCAGGTGTGAGTAAGTTAAGGATCTAAAGATGGGAGATTATCCTGGACTCTCGGGTCCTCATAAGAGAGAGGCAGACGGACACTGGACAAAAAGGAGAAACTGTAATGATAAAAGCCACATGCTCCACCACCGGCTTCAAAGCTGGAGGAATGCAGGTCTGGAGGCTGAAAGAGGAGAAGGAACAGGTTCTTCCCCGGAGGCTCCAGAAGGAGCCAGCCTTGGCTCCGGCCTCCAGGACAGTGAGAATAACCCAGTATGTCTGAGCCACAGAGTTTGTGGTCATTTGTTGCAGCAGCCACAGGAAACAAGCACATGCCTCCCCCTCAGCGTTGGGCCACAGGGCTCCGAGTCAGAAGTAGCAGCTTGGAGTCCTGTAAGTATTAGACTGGACTAGACCCTTGAACACTCCGGAGAGGCCGGATGGGGACTTTTTACCTGCAGAGATTGGCTGAAACATCTGAGCGACCTCTCTGAGTTTCTATTCAGGGGCAGGGAAGAAAACATTTGTCAAGGAAAATTTAAAGGAGGGTGGAGAGAAAGAATCAAGTTGTTTTCTGCTACTCATTATTCAAGAAATATTTCTTGAGCCTAAATTTTGTGCCAGACTCTATGTGAGTTTGTGCATGTAACAGTGAAAAAATAAAAAAACAAACCCAAACCTCTGTCTTCAGAGCCTGATTTCCAGCATGCCAGGGACTTTGTGGACCCACTCCCCAGTGAACTGGCGGGAACTAGGGAACAAGCAAGCAAATATTAAAGCCTCTGGAAATGGCCCTAAGGATGAGAGAAAATGAGCACACAGCAATTCCAGAACATCTATGAAAGTCTGGTAAGAAAAGCAAGTCTGTGTCATTTAAACCAAGATCCACTCCCTTCCTTCCCCTCCTCCCAGCTCAGAGAGGCCAAGATTCCACTCTGGATGCTGCAGCCAAGCACATGGGGCCCCGTTCTCTCCCCAGACCAAGGAAATAGGCCTCCCCCTCCCCCCAGCTCCCACGAGCAGACCTTCCTCCCAGGAAGAGCAGGATGTCCATTTTCCCATCCTGCCCCCAGCTACTTTTTGCTGAAGCTAAGTCCTGGGTGAGTGTAGCCAAGAGGTGGGGCCTCCCTTCTTCCACCCAGCCCCATTCATGGAACAGAGGCTCTGCCTTGGGAGCAGAGTGCTGCAAATACTGGGGCCCTGATCACCTCTGCTTCCACCCCAGGAGAAGAAAGCTGGGAGGGCCTCAGGCCATTGTCCTCACTCCCAAGTGCTCAGCTCCTAGAGCAGGGTATCAGAGAGAAGCTTGATATTGTCTCCACTCCCAGCTCCAGAGCCCTAGGTCAGAGAGAGAGTTTGCCTAAGGAAGATACAGGTCATAAAACAGATCTAAT